ATTTAGATGCTATGAGAATTAAAATTAATTATAATAATTGATTATTAATTTAATTTTAATTTAAATAAAAAATTTTAATACAATTAAAAAATCATTTCAAATATCATTAAAGTAATATTTCACACTTCACTTATTAAAAAAGAAAACTTACATAACTTACTTAACTTACATCTTTGCTACCATATTCCGTAAAAGACGTTTCAGAATTTGATTCTTCGCAATGAATAGAAGAAGATAAGATTTCACTAACGTTGGAAAATAACTTCGAATTTGATGAACAAATCCTTTCAAAATCCTCTTGCAGCCTACTCTATATATGATAAAGGAAAATATACAATTAAATAACAAGAGCTTTAATTTAATTTTTCTGTAAATAAGTTTATATTATTTTATAACTCTTTTGGCAAGGAAAGGCGATGTACATCATTATCACTTTCAACTTCACTAGTAGATACTTTTGAATTTATAGATTTTTCATATTTAATAGAAAAAGCAATTGAAGATGAACAATCTGTATCAGATTTCATGGATTTTTCACATTCAGAAGAAGATAAGCTGTTTAATGAGTAAAGTTCGTCATTAGAATTCTTGGAATTTTCGTATTTAGTTGAACCATCTGATGAGTATAAATTGTTATCATTTTTAGCGCACGATAAATTAGAAGTTGTAGAACTTGCTGTTTCAAATTTTTTACATTTATAATCTTTTTCAAAATGTTCTTCCTTATGTAGTCGTTTCATTCTGCAATACGTATAAGTTATAAACGCTTTTGTAATAAAATTTAATGACTTTTTAAAAATAATCTAATTTTATTAAATTTGTCTATATCGTAGAATTCTAGGAGTTGTATTTGAAATTTCATTTCCCTCCTAAAAAGATTTTTTCGCTTTTTATCTAATAATTAATATAAAAAACATAAAAGCGACTAAAACTCTCAGAGAACTTGGAAAAATGTAATTACTAAAAATTTTGCAAATCAAAAGTTTATGAAGAGAAGTTTCTAATCAAAACTGGTTTTTTACTTTTCAAAATCTCGTATTTTTTTAATTGATGAGCGGATAAAAAATAACACGTGTAAAACGTTTAAACAGACACCCAGACTACAATCATGACAGTTTAGATTAAAATCTTTTTCAATGTGAAAAATATTACATACACTGTTATTATAAAATCCGGCAGCCCCCTGTGGAGGCGGCCACATTCTCATCACGCGCTTCGCGCGTAGGGGCGCGCGAAGGATGATCATCCAGCTTTGCGGTTTGATATTGATACGCGCTTCACGCGCATTGTTTAGGCATCGCGCTACGCGCTTTGTTTGTTTATTACAATTCAAAACCTAGTAGCATTAATTACTTTTTAACTACAATGTGTAATTCAAACATTTTTCAATTACATTCAAAAACTGTATTAATTATACTACCAGAAAGTAGTTGAATGACCCAAGAATCGATTTTGTAGTTTTTTCAGACTTTGTAGTTGATTTAATTAATTTTGAAGTAAAATGTCAAGAAGAAAGAAATTATTTTTATTAATTTTATTAAAAAGAGTAAAATCAATTACACACAGAGTTAAAATATGTACAAAAGTAGTTATTTTAAAAAGGGGAGCTTCATATAATCGACTTGTTTTGAAAAATTTATTAGAAACAACTCATAGTCTTTATTAAAATGCGTTAAATTAAATTATACAAATAGGTAAGTTTTAAAGGTATTAGAATACATTTTTTATCGAGCAAAAAAAAGAGAATGGCGGCACTGCAGCTGTTCAATCTTATTTCCTTAATTTTGCGCCGTGGATTGACCAGGTCTTTGTAATTAACGAAAATCGACAAACCAAATTATTTACTAAAATAAGATATTCCGCTTCGAACTAATTTCAATTGAGTAAAAGAAAAAATTAACTGAAAATTTAAAAACATTAAAAAATACTTTAAAGTAAATGCATTTTTAAAACAACAAATTTATTATATGAGGTTTTGCCCTCATGTTTTTAATCTTATCCCTTCAGAATACCTTTAAATGCTAAAAATATCGCGTCAAAAATGTTTCAATACGCCATTTTGAATTTTTAAAAACTTACTTCAGAATCGTCATGAGCGACCTAAAAAACCAAGGAGTAGAAAGATTTATTTAAATTTGCTAAAAAGATTGTTGAAAAATAGGAAAAGAACTAGGCGCAATTGCAGCTACATCTAGGGTTTCGTGGCGCTTTAAATTTTAATTAAAAACAAAATAAATCAAAAATAAATAATTTAAAAATAAATAATAAAATTTATTTTATAAATTTTATGTACTATTAAATTTTATTTATTTAGCAAAATTTTTATTATAAATTAATTAATCATTTATCTTTTTTTGAAAATGTCCATTCGATAATGTCTACTATTAAGACATGTCAAGAAAAAAGAAAGAGTGGCTGTGAAGTGGAGGTCTTTCTTCTATCAATTATCTTTTTTGATTCACAAACAAAAACATTAGGTAAAATGTCCATTCGATAATGTCCACTATTAAGACATGTCAACTCTTGGACATGTCAACTATAGATACATGTCAACTATAGGGACATGTCAACTACTGGGACATGTCAACTATATGGACATGTCAACTATTGGGACATGTCAGCTATTGGGACATGTCAATTACTGAGACAAAGAATTTGGGATCTGTGGTGCCCCAAAATTTTAATTTGGGATCTGTGCCCTAAAATTTGATTTTGGGAGCTGTGGTGCCCCAAAATATACTACGGACAGACGGACGCCAAAGTGAAACTATAAGGCTTTCGGCCATGGGCCACGAAACCCTAAAAATGAATTTTCTCTAAAAAAATAGCAATGTTTATACTTAGTTAATTTATAATTCTTTATAATTTTGCCTGTTACACTTATTATTTTTGTTTCACTTCATAATGCTTTCGTTATAGTGGAAAAAATGTTTTATAAATACTGCTTCAAAAACTTTAAATCTAGAGAGGAAAGTTGCTAAAAGAAAAGGTGGCAAAATAGGTTAAAACTGTGCCGCAAAAAATTAATGAGTAAAATAAAACATCGAAAATAATTTAAAATTTTTGTTACCTTAAACGTTATAGAATAGTAGAAGAGCCCAATGTGTTTTTTGGGATTAACACGAGCGCGGCAGATGAACACAGGGGGAGATACCTTGCATATTGTTAAGTACCTCTTCCAAGTATTAACTCTTTTTATCAAGACGTGCGACTAGGAGAGCTCATCAGATTAGTAAAAAAAATCGATCGTCGGAAATATTGAAGCGCGTCAGATTAAGGGAAGGTGGGTTAATTACTAGCTAAAAAATGTACATTTAAAAAATCTGACGATTTGAGCGTAACGTAAGGGAGTGGGAGGGTTATAAATTTGAAAAAAAACGTTGACTTGACATTCTCGAGCGCGGTTAAATTTTTTTTTAATTTGAAGGAAATAACATAAGAATCACGAATAAAATATAATCTGACGATTTCCAGAAGCCGAAGTAATGAAAATCGTCTATGTAGATTAAAGCGCGCATCTCGAGTACAACACGCATTCCCCACTCCGTGCCTCATCTTCCGTTTCACTTTTTTCCTATTTCTGACTCTCTCGCACCATCTCGATTTCTGACACTGCTCTCCACCATTATTAAAAAAAATTTTTTTCATTTTTTCAGCTGTCAGATTAAGAATATTCCTCAAAATAATCGTTAGATTTTGGATTATCATGACTGGAGCATCCAGATGAACCATCTGCATAAAAATCTGACACGCTCGAGTATTTCTAGATAGCGATTTTTTTTGCATTTTAAAAAATTCGCTACAAGCTTGCGTCACTTCCGAAACGTCAGTTTTTTGAATGGGAGCATTTTTAAGGTTCATTTAACATCTTCCGTAAATATCTGACACGCTCGAGTATTTCCATGTAATTGTTTTTCTTTACATTTTTAAAAATTTATAGACGCTTCCCCCACCACTAAAAAGGAAAACTTTATAGAACCTTTTATTTTCCTTATTATCTAAACTACAAAATATCTTCGTCCCCACGACGCTCGAGTAAATCCCCATTTAGCATCATGGGCTCCCCTACTAGAACATAACATTTTTACCTTTTTTGTTTTAATCTGTATCGAAAAGTGTTAAAGATGTATGAGTAAGTCACTGTTATTTGTGTTAATTTAAGGTGGTTTAAACAGAGATAATACATAGTTGCTCATATTTTCTCAAAATAAAGTAATTTTGTCCTGCATTTTACCCATTTTTCATCCGTTTTTGTCTTTTTTTGTCCTTTTTATAAAAAAAGAGGTATAACTTTTTTGTTTTAATCGCTATTAAAAATTGTCAAAGGAAAAAAGTGTTTATTTTTACTCGTATTTTTCGAAAAAAATTGAAAAATTTTTTTTTTAAAAAATGCGAATTTTTGAAACTTTTAAAAACTCAAAATTTGAATAATTTTGTTGATTTTTGATGAAATCATCTGGCCAACGAACTCAGGCGAGATTTTGATACACTTAAAGTGTATACCAAATTTGAAGTCGATTCATTAAAATTTGTTCGAGATATCGTCGGACAAAATTTTTCTACAGACATACATACATACAGACATACATACAAACAAACATTTTTTTAAGACCCATTTTTTCGGCATCAGAAAGTCTCAAAACGTCGAGATTCACTGGAATTAGAGAATGCTCAAAATCGCCCAAATGTAATACCTTCTCATTATGATGAGAATGTAAAAATATGTTTTAATTATATTTAAGATTTTAAATAATATTAAATTAGATTAGATATTTGATGAAAAATTTTTCGTATTTGATGATTTCATAAATTTGCAATTTTTTCTTTTAGAAGATAAAATACTTTTGACAACACGTATAATGACGTATGAGAATTTTCTATAAGATGACATTTGAAGAGTTTTCTTTTTTTAAAAAAACAATATTTGAATTTCCGATTGTTTGATATTAGAATTAAAGGTTCTTTTTTCAATTGTTTTGTTTCTATGGAAATATAGTTCAATATTATTATTACATGCTGGGAAAAAGTATTTGATAATTTTTAAACAAAATATCATAAAAAATGGAAGAAAAGTTTCTAAAACGCCAATTGCTGATAGATGGTGATAACAAGTTTCTTTATGTCGTTTATGAAACATCTGTAATAGTAGATCCAAAAATACAAAGGTTGAAAGAAGGAGATCACGTAATCTTTCGTTGGCCAGAATCAGCAAAAGCTCCAATAATTTATAAAGGGAAAATATTAATCAAGTAAATACAAAACTTCAATTTTGATTAACTTCCTTTCTCAGAAATCAGGTTATTTCATTCACATAAATTCTTTTCATATTACAATTTGAAGAAAATGTTTATTTAATGCAAATAATTTTTCTTTTATTTATAAAAATCAATTTATTCCTGTTCTTATTGTTTTAGTTATTATGTTTTTGAAAATATTTTTTATATATGAAAAGTTTTTATAATTTTTAAGAACAATTTATTCATGTTAAAATTGTATAAATGTTTAGAATTAAAATTTTATTTTTAACTAAAATTATTAATTAATTCAATTGTAAAAAAATTATAATTAGTTTAATGTCAATTTCACCAGTTTTCATTTTCTGATGGAAGTTAATTTAAAATACCAGTCTGATGGGAATAATTATTTATAAAATATTTTTTAGCCAAAGAATATGAATTGCAAAACTTGGTTTCAAAAATAAAAAAACAGAGGACTATAGAAAATAAGAAACGAAACTCACAATCAGATGATTCCAAAAACAATGAGAAAAAGCGCTGTAAAAGTACGACGGAAATAACAAAGAAATTGACAGAATCGGAAAAAATTGGTGAAAAATTGGAGGATAAAGTAAGAATAAAAATTTTATTTCACGCATTCATGCTGTTAGTATAACAAATATTTTTAAAAATTTATGAAAATTTATAGCAATGTCTTTCATTAAAAAAATAGAAAAATACTATAAACAAAAACAAAATACTACAATTAATTTCTAATTTAAAAATGTTAATCCTAACGAAACTGAGATTTTAAAATATAATAATTTATAGAACAAGATCTTAAGTTTAAAACGAGAATCAAATTTCTTATGCGCTGATGAGTAATTTAAAATAACAGAAGAAATTAAAGCCAAGAAAATTAAGGACAATCTTAAAAAAAGAACATTAATAGATAAATTTATGGATATTCGTTATGCCGCCTTTTCCCTGTTGGATAAAATTGATGCTTTGAAAAATGTAAGAAAAAGATCTTTTACTATATTTTGTAAAGATTCAAAATAATTTTTTAAATTATAATTAATTTTAATAGCATTCATTTGTATCTAAATGTAAATTCTTAGGATTTTTTATATTTTTAACAATTTTTAATAATAATCAAAATTTATAATTTTTAATCTAATTTTTTAATTTTTGTAAACTTAGATAAGTAATTAATTGTTAATTGACCGTTATCTGTAGGATATTGAAATGTCAGAGAAAAAAACCACAGAATCAATTCCACTGAACTCTGAGTTTGATGTTTCGAGTTGTAGTTTTAATGAAAATGATACTTCTTAAATAATTTATGAGGTGAAAGAAAATATGGATGAAAATGACAAGGACGAAAGTTTTGAAATTATAAATTCTGATAAGGAGAATGACTCTGATGAAGACGAAAATCAAAATGATAGATCAACTCTTTTGTATCCGACTTACATTCCTGACTTTGTAAGATTTTTTATTTAATTATTTATTTATTTTAAAAATTTTTATTTTTATTTTATAAAACTAATAATATTTTTTTATTTAAAATCTTTGTAAAAATAAATAAATAATTAAATTTTTAGACCTGTGAAGTTCATACCGACTCTAAAATATATTTGTGGAAGAATCCTTGTTTAAACAATGCAAAAGAGAATCAAATAATCCCAATTCATATGCCAGATCTCTCCTGGACTTAATTTTTACCCAAGAAGCTATCTTAACACGTACTTTGCAAGGGAAAGGAAAAGGGAAAAAAATGGGTTTACATTCAAAAGCTGTGACTGCTTTATTAAGTATGCTTTCTTTTAAATATTTTAATTCAGCTTATTTAAAAAGTATTTAATTCATAATTAAGATTTAAATTCCAATCAAGAAAAACGTAAATTTTTTTTGTCATAAAAAACAAATTCTATTTAATTAATTTCATTGAAATCTTTTATTTCAGAAACAAAAAATTTTAAAAATCCCTAAAAAGCTGCTTATGCTATAACTCTTGTAATTGTTAAATTTTCAAAATATTTGATTATATTGTATATAAACAAATATTTTTCAATTACAGAGGTAAATTTCTTTGTCCTTTTTAACCGAATGTTAATTTTGAATTATTAAAAACTCTTTTAAAACTGGACAAATAAGGACAAAAAATTCATTTTATTTTCAAAATTGTTTAGCTACCCAGCAATTTATATTTACATTTTATAATATTGCCATGAGAATAAAGTATAGTTTCTAGAATTAAAAAGAAAGTGTGAAAAGCGTCGTCGAAATCTAATAAGATATGTTTTCAGACGCTGTTCAATCACAAATTCGAAAGAAAAATTGGGACAAAGTTGAAAATGCAACAATTAAAACATCATTAAGATCAAAAATTTTCGAAGCATCAAAAAAAGCTTAATTAAGTTACTTTAGAAGATTATATAACTTAAAATTAATTAAATTATTATTATATTCCTAATATTATGTATGAACTAAATAAAATTATTGAATAAATTTATTTCAATTCTAAATAAGAAATATAAAAATCTGGATTTTTTATATTCATTAGTACAAATTACCCATAAAAATTATGGTTGGTTAAATAATATTTGCAATCTGGTTCAAGTACTTATAAAATCGCTAATAATAATAATAATAATAATAATAATAATAATATATTACACAGGCACACAAAAAAAAAGTTGTCTGTTTCTTGAACTAGACATATATTTCCTATAGTACTTTGGGCCGCTGAAACCGAATCTGAGCTCAGAATTGCTCCATCACACTCAGTTTTTTTTTAAATCGACCAAAACCACCCTTAAACGGACAAATTCACACTTCGGAGATAAAAAATAAATCAACTTATATTTTAAGAAAACCGAATTTTACATCTACGAAACTTTGCTCCACTAACTCAAAAACAAAGCCAGCATTGATCCAGCACCCCCTGAATTTTTTTAATTGAAAAAACTACCCCTAATCTGAAGAATAAAATTCAGGAGATAAAACAATAAAATAACTGATTAAAAAAGTTTATAACCAGGTATTTTTACTCCAGCAATGCGGAAACAAAGCCAGAAATGCTCATTGCTGGAGTAAAAATACCTGGTTATAAACTTTTTTAATCAGTTATTTTATTGTTTTACCTCCTAAGTTTGATTCTTCAGATTAAGGGTAGTTTTTTTTATTAAAAAAATTCAGAGTGTGATGGATCAATGCTGGCTTTTTTTTGAGTATTTCTGGCTTTGTTTCTGCCTTGCTGGAGTAAAAATACCTAATTATAAAATTTTTTAATCAGTTATTTTATTGTTTTACCTCCTGAATTTGATTCTTCAGATTTTAGGGGTAGTTTTTTCCATTTAAAAAAATTCAGAGGGTGATGGATCAATGCTGGCTTTATTTTTTGCGTTAGTAGAGCAAAACTACATACATGTAAGGTCCTGTATTTAAAAAAAGCCGGTAATATAATATTTTTTTACATCTTAAATTTGAATTTTACTATTTAAGGGTGGTTTTGCGATTTAAAAAAAATTTAGAGGGTGAGGGAGTATTTCTGGCTTTGTTTCTGCCTTGCTGGAGTAAAAATACCTGGTTATAAAATTTTTTAATCACTTATTTTATTGTTTTACCTCCTGAATTTGATTCTTCAGATTAGGGGTAATTTTTTCCATTTAAAAAAATTCAGAGGGTGATGGATCAATGCTGGCTTTATTTTTTGCGTTAGTAGAGCAAAACTACATACATGTAAGGTCCTGTATTTAAAAAAAGCCGGTAATATAATATTTTTTTACTTCTTAAATTTGAATTTTACTATTTAAGGGTGATATTTCGATTTAAAAAAAATTAAGGGGGTGAGGGAGCATTTCTGGCTTTGTTTCTGCATTGCTGGAGTAAAAATTTCTGGTTATAAAATTTGTCAATCAGATATTTTATTGTTTTATCTCCTGAATTTGATTCTTTAGATTAGGGGTAGTTTTTTCAATTAAAAAAATTTAGGGGGTGCTGGATCAATGCTGGCTTTGTTTTTGAGTTAGTGGAGCAAAGTTTCGTAGATGTAAAATTCGGTTTTTTTAAAAAATAAGTTGATTTATTTTTTATCTCCGAAGTGTGAATTTGTCCGTTTAAGGGTGGTTTTGGTCGATTTAAAAAAAACTGAGGGTGATGGAGCAATTCTGAGCTCAGATTCGGTTTCAGCGGTCCAAAATACTATAGGAAATATATGTCTAGTTCAAGAAACAGACAACTTTTTTTTTGTGTGCCTGTGTTCTTGATTACATTTCTAAGGTAAGTAAGGTTTTAACGGTGTTGCAGGGCCAAGAAATCTCACTGTTGCCAACCCACTCTCCCCCACTTTTATGTATTTTTCCACTTTAACAATTATTTAAAAAAAAATCAAGGCACTTTATCGAAAAAGTGGGCTTTTAGCGCCAAAATATATTAAATAAGCTTTTGAAAAAACTTTACCCGGTCCTACAACGATGTTTCTACGAGCCGGAATATTATTTCTACTATGAAATTTGACACATGACAGCTGAGGTGGCTTGTGAATGAAAATGGAGGTGGCACGACAGGTTGCCTACGTAAAGGCATATCACTATGATAAAGTAGAGTAGAACTTTATTTTGGAAAAAAATACAAAAATTTCTTTTTTTGTCACAATGTTTTAATGAAAGTATATAAAATAACATAAATTAGTGAGTGTTTGTTTATAAAAATTATAAAACAAATAAATTTCGTCAAAAAAGAAAAAATTCTTTAAAATTATTTTGAAAATTGAATATATCAATTTACTATTTTTTGAACCAATTTTTTATAGTAATTACATTAAATAAATTAAATTAAAATTACTAATTAGTAATTTTTTGGCTATAATTTATTAAATTATTAATTATTATGAACATTTAAAAAATTATTTTTCTAATTTTTTTTTTCTCAAAATGTACAAATTAGTAATTTTATTTTTTAATTATTATAAAAATTTGTCTGCAAAATATTGTCCAAGAATTAAAATGACCAATTTTTCCATTTTTGAGGAATAATTTATTAAATATTTAATTACTAATGTTTTAAATTTACAATTTTTAGAAATTAAATTATATCTAAAGATCTCAAAATATTTTTTTTTAAATAAGTTAATTTGTAATTATAAATTGAGAAATTTTTTTTAATTCGATAAAATACATTTATTTTACATTTTTCATTAGGTAAAATTATTAAACATATGTTCTTTTGCATATTTTCATCGTTGAGTTGTGACAGAAAATAGTATTCTTATTATTTTCCATACCGAAATAGTTTCCTACGTTAGCATAGTGTTCCGCTTTTACGTAGGCAACCTGTCGTAGTACGAAAAATAATATTGATACTCGCAGAATTTTTGTATCCTATCAGAGAAATTTTTTTTCAAATTCTTGTTTAATTTAGTTTTTCGATAAAGAGCCCTTTTTCTACAAAGCATCTAGTTTTTTATAAAAAAATTAGAAAAGTGCAACATTTTTTAATAATACTGTGATGTTTTGGATAATTGAATTAATATTATTAAATTATGAATTATTAAAAATTTTATAAATTACCATTTGGGAAAATTAAATTGTATCTCATGTTCATTCAATTTTTTTATATTAGTTCATTAGAAATTATTTTTCAAGTGAAAATTATTTTTTGTAATCTAATTACAAATATCTTCGATTTCCTTTCTAACTTATCGATAAATTTCTTCCTTACATAAAGGGGTCACAGATGGCGCAACACAGGACCTTTTTGTCGTCAAAGAGTTTTATATTCTCTATATGACGCATGTATACTCCACACTTTAAGGGACACTCTCACCTCTTGGCTGCCTGCCTGCCTGCCGTAGTTGTCATGGCAACGTGTAGGAGTAATAGAGATAGTAAATTCAAATTTGGATTTTCTCTCTCTCTCTCTCTCTTACTCCTACACGTTGCCATGACAACTCCTGCAAGCAGACAGCCAGCCAAAAAGGTGTGAGTGCGCCCTTAGACTATTAATATTAGGAGACGCCTGTTTCTGTCCGCCTTTCAAAAAGTTCTAATAGACCTTTTCATGCTGATCGTTCTGTCCTTATCTAGCGCATACAATGACGCATGAGTTGGAAGAGGACAAAATGATCAGCATGAAAAGGTCTATTGTAATTCTGTCAAATTTAAAATTTTAAAATGTTAAAATAACCTAAATGCATTGGATATAATGTGATATTATTCAAACATCTATTTAATAAATGGAGTTTATTGTCAAATTTATTTTCAACAAAAAAGCAAATTGTCTAAAACGCATTTACTAGAATCATAAAAAAGTCTAAATTTTTTTATTCAAACTTTCAAATGATAAAATAATTGCACAACCCAATGTATGTTATTTATAATTTTATTATAACCTAATTTTAAAGGGTTATAATTTTTAATTATACAAATTGTATTTAATAAAATTTGACTTTTTTATGATTCTAGTAAATGCGTTTTAGACAATTTGCTTTTTTGTTGAAAATAAATTTAACAATAAACTCCTTTTATTAAATAGATGTTTGAATAAAATCAAATTATATCCAATGCATTTAGGTTATTTTAACATTTAAAAATTTTTAATTTTACAGAATTACAATTAGAACTTTTTGAAAGGCGGACAGAAACAGGCGTCTCAATATTAGAATCCAAGAAGAACTATTTGCCATGCGCGTACGTTCGCGCACTGGGCAAGATTTTCAAAACCTTTTAGCCGTCAAATGAATAAACGCTGAATTTCTATGTAAAATACATATTTTACTCACCTCTTTCAAAAAATAAATTAGGTATGAAACTTTTAAAGTAAAGTACAAGATATTTTACTATAAAAAACACGTTTCTGATGTATTTTACGTGCCCAAACCTCGTAGCATTACTATAATATGTTTATTTATATAATATGTTTAGTTTATCGAAGAACCAAAAATGAAAACAGAAACAAAAAAGTTTATGCATTGTTATTGAATAAAAAAAATTTTGTTGACTTGAATAAATCATTTCATAACTTTTGTTGACTGAGGAAGATATTTGCAAATATTTTTTAAAAAATATATTTTTTTCATTTCTTTTTCAGTTTTTTCAACAAACGTTTTTACAAATAGATTCTTTGTTAAAGTTCATTACTAAAAATTATTATTAAATATTCTACAGAGTTCTTGGAATTAGACTAAGAACAGTTTGGAATTGTTGTTATTCTTCATTGAAAAAATTTCTATCTCGGAAACAACAAGGTTTCTATTGTTAATGCCGATTTTGATGCAATGACAAGGAATCTTTGTTAAATTAGCAATAATGCAGACAAAACTCTGTCCACATAGCACAACATTTTTCAGGAAGTTTGCGGCAAATTTACACTGCAAACTTGATACCTGACGGACATTTTAGTATTTACTACAAGTTTGCT